TAATCGACTTAATCAAAAAAATGGGTAAATAATATACTTCATTAATCCTACTTTAAAAAAAACGATAATAATTTTAGCAAACTTTGACGAATTTTTAAAATTAAACTACTTGTCGTTAGGCCGTAATATTACAGTAAGTTCTATAAGACCATGATGTATATCGCCAAAAAAATTTCCATGAAAATCGGCTTAAATTTTTTTTTCAACAGTTAATTACAAGAAAACGGCTCGGTAGATTTTCACCTAAAATTAATCAGTACCATTCCCAACTAATATCTTTCGAACAGTTTTTGATATTTTAAAATCGGTTCGGTAGGATGAGCTTAAATGTCGACGAAAATTTAACACTTTTTTTCAACAGTTAATTACAAGAAAACGGCTCGGTGGATTTTCACCTAAAATTAATCAGTATCATTCCCAACTAATATCTTTCGAACAGTTTTCGATATTTTAAAATCGGTTCGGTAGGATGAGCTTAAATGTCGACGAAAATTTAACACTTTTTTTCAACAGTTAATTACAAGAAAACGGCTCGGTAGATTTTCACCTAAAATTAATCAGTATCATTCCCAACTAATATCTTTCGAACAGTTTTTGATATTTTAAAATCGGTTCGGTAGGATGAGCTTAAATGTCGACGAAAATTTAACACTTTTTTTCAACAGTTATTACAAGAAAACGGCTCGGTAGATTTTCACCTAAAATTAATCAGTATCATTCCCAACTAATATCTTTCGAACAGTTTTTGATATTTTAAAATCGGTTCGGTAGGATGAGCTTAAATGTCGACGAAAATTTAACACTTTTTTCAACAGTTAATTACAAGAAAACGGCTCGGTAGATTTTCCCCACCTAAAATTATCAGTACCATTCCCAACTAATATCTTTCGAACAGTTTTTTGATATTTTAAAATCGGTTCGGTAGGATGAGCTTAAATGTCGACGAAAATTAACACTTTTTTCAACAGTTAATTACAAGAAAACGGCTCGGTAGATTTTCACCTAAAATTAATCAGTATCATTCCCAACTAATATCTTTCGAACAGTTTTTGATTTTTTAAAATCGTTCGGTAGGATGAGCTTAAATGTGGACGAAAAGTTTTTTTCAAATTACAAAGAAACGGCTTGGCAGATCGTTGCACAAAACTGACAAACGATAGTCCTCACCGAAATACATCAAATGGCTTTTAAATTTCTAAAATCGGTTAGGCGTTTTTGAGAAAACGTCGATCAAAAGTCTAATTTTGACAAATGCCAAAAAGACCATACTGATTTTTGCAAACTTTGACGAATTTTTAAAGCTGAACCAGTTGTCGTAGGGCCGTAATATTTTAGTATGATCTAGAAGACTATGGTATCTATCGTCAAAAAAATAATCATAAAAATCGTCGAAATTTTTTTTAAAAAACTTTATTACAAGAAAACGGCCCCGGCCGATCTCTACCAAAAACTAATCAGCACGATTCCCAACCAATATCTTTCGAACGGTTTTTGAATTTTCAAAATCGATTCAGAATTGCGGGCTAAAACGTAGACGAAAATTTTCACTTTTCTGCCATTTATAAGAAACGGCTTGGCCGATCGTCGCACAAAACTGACAAACAATAGTTCTCGTCGAGATACATCGAATGGCTTTTAAATTTTTGAAATCGACCCAGCCGTTTCGAGAAAACGTCGATTTACGACAAAAAATCTGTTCACATACACACACACACACACACACACACACATACTTTTTCCAAATTTGGTCTCATTCGATTCAGAATGGCTTGAAACGTCGAGAAAACATAAAATTAGCGAATCGGGTTTTTTGATGAAAACATAAACTTCTCCTTCGGGAAGTTAATAACAGTGAGAAGTGTTGTCGTGTCGTGTCTCATGTTTAATTATATGTCTGAAGCTGGAATTTTCGAGATTATTTTCAAAAAGATTTGCATGTCTTCAATAACCTTTTTACACAAGATTTTCTAATTTGATCAGGAGTTTAAC